CTTTGGGTAGGGATTATGGAAAAGAGATTTAATTTTGGTGGCGTTTTGGTTTGCTGTCTCGATGGTGGTGAAGATGCAGAATTGCCTATGATTTGGTGAGAGAAAGAAATCATGTTTATTCTTTATCGATTTGGTGAGAGAAAGAGATTATGCAGTTGTATTTTCCTTATTAAATACTGTTGAAATACGGTCGCCACATCATATTATTTTAATTAAGAAAAAAGTAGATATGAAGATAAGTTTATTTTCTCGTATTTGTAAAAATAATCATAGAAAGAATGGTAGATGGTGTAATTTTCTCATCTACCACCCATGCACCAATTGGCAGTGGGCCCTAGTCACAAGCCCGCCCCCTCCTCTCTCTCTCTCTCTCTCTCTCTCACACACACACACACACACACACACAATTCGTACGCATGCGCACGCACACACATGTCAAGCCCCCCTCCCCGACTCCATCGGCTTCCTTCCCCTGCCGACTTTCGCCAGGCGACCTCCGGAGCCGCCACACCTCCGCCCAGATCTAGTCGCGTTGTCGGACGTAGTCGAGCTCAGCTTCACCGCCGTGAGCCTCATCAACGTCATCCACGCTCCTCACTTTTCTGTTGATGAATTCCCTCTCTAAGAAAGAGTTCACCAGATCGGAGACATCAAGTACGTGCTCTTCGACGTTTATTAATTTCACATGATCATAACCTCTTATAAAGAACAAAATGGGAATTGAAAGGTTGGAAGTCCTTCACTTTTATTGATATAAGTGTTATTATTTTCTGGAAATAGTTCAAATTTTATACTGATGTTAAGGAGTTTGCTAATTTCGAAATATATCTACAGAGCTGTTGTGCAAGTCTTGTCAACATTTGAATGATTGCAATCTGGAAATAACTTTAGGCCACATATGAACAAGCAAGAACAGATTCATTGCACGGTTCTCTCATTCATAATTTTCCACACATAATATGGGAGGCTACAAGATCACGGAGCTGAAACGGTAACAAGCACCTCGTTTATTACAACTACAAATAAATCCAAATGAAGAGTTTTACACAGACGAATAAGTGAAATCCCCCACATCCCACGAATTCGTTCTTCACTTGTATTCCAAGATCATGTTGTTTTCCGGAGCCAATCCAACACAAGCCCTTAATATGTTCTCAAGCATTGCGCGCTGTTTGGATAGTGCATTTACGACTGGTGTTCCTGGTGGCACCTGTCATCAGAGCCAACACGTACCCGCCTCAATACTTATGTGCTTATAATATACAAATTTTAGGGGTGTTTTTGCAACAAAC